ATTGAAATCGCATGAAAGCCAGTAAGTGCTATGGCAAAAATTGAGAGTTTACTTGAAAAATGTAGTTTCAATGGCCAAATAATTGAACCTGGGGTACTTGCTACTGCGATTCCTAAAATGCGTAGCCTGTTGATGGAGTATTTTTGGAATCCGAAATAATTATTTTGTTACATTGTTTGCTAGCTTAGCTGGTTAGCTAGCTCTCAGTCTCATTGACCACCAAACATTGCTAATGCTAGCTAGCTAGCCACTTAATACAAGTTGTTTTCTAAAAATGTATTTTAGCTAGCGAAGTTAACCATGTTATTAATACAACCCCCATCTGCGGTCGACATCAGGACATGATTTGAGAGCATTAGTTAGCTCCAAACGTGGTTAGTAGCTTTGACTGCGCGCTGACATCGAAATCAGAGCCGTTCAGTGGCTAGCTACACTACAACCCCTATTTTACCAGGTTTCCGTGAAGCAATTGTAATCACAGTCCACCACAATCAATGATTAATGTATACACTAGATGACTGATAGGGGGCGCTGTGTTGAAGCCACCGTGTCTCCATCTTGGCACTCCCTCACCATTGTAAGACATATTTTGGAAGCTATAGAAATTCATTTATTAATATCTACGTTCGTTTATTCTATTACAGACACCTAAATGCATACTTTTAAATTATATTATGTGAGCTAAACATAAAAAAAAAAAAATGTATGTAAACATAAACCTACCCATGAGTATATATAAACATACCCAAGAGTTTCCTGATTAGCAAGGGGTAGTCTGTGTTTAACTTCATTGTGTATTAGAAACACAGTTTGAAATCATTGTGAAGGGAGTTTGCCTGTGGTTGAATGGGGAATTGGGTTGGCTTTAACTTCCTGACTGATGTCTTGAGATGTTGCTTCAATATATCCACATAATTTTCCTTCCTCATGATGCCATCTATTTTGTGAAGTGCACTAGTCCCTCCTGCAGCAAAGCACCCCCACAGCATGATGCTGCCACCCACATGCTTCACGGTTGGGATGGTGTTCTTCGGCTTGCAAGACCCCCCTTTTTCCTCCAAACATAACGATGGTCATTATGGCCAAACAGTTCTATTTTTGTTTCATCAGACCAGAGGACATTTCTCCAAAAAGTACAATATTTGTCCCCATGTGCAGTTACAAACCGTAGTCTGGCTTTTTTATGGCGGTTTTGGAGCAGTGGCTTCTTCCTGGCTGAGCGGCTTTTCAGGTTATGTCGATATAGGACTCATTTTACTGTGGATATAGATACTTTTGTACTTGTTTCCTTCAGCATCTTCACAAGGTCCTTTACTGTTGTTCTGGAATTGATTTGCACTTTTCATACCAAAGTACGCTAATCTCTAGGAGACAGAACGCATCTCCTTCCTGAGCAGTATGACAACTGCGTGGTCCCATGGTGTTTATACTTGCGTACTATTGTTTGTACAGATGAACGTGGTACCTTCAGGCGTTTGGAAATTGCTCCCAAGGATGAACCAGACTTGTGGAGGTCTACACATTTTTTTCTGAGGTCTTGGCTGATTTCTTTTGATTTTCCCATGATGTCAAGCAAAGAGGCACTGAGTTTGAAGGTAGGCCTTGAAATACACCTCCAATTGACTCAAATAATGTCAATTAGCCTATCAGAAGCTTCCAAAGCCATGACATCCTTTTCTGGAATTTTCCAAGCTGTTTAAAGGCACAGTCAACTTAGTGTATGTAAACTTCTGACCCACTGGAATTGTGATACAGTGAATTATAAGTGAAATAATCTGTCCGTAAACAATTGTTGGAAAAGTTACTTGTGTCATGCACAAAGTATATGTCCTAACCGACTTGCTAAACCTATAGTTTGTTAACAAGAAATGTGTGGAGTGGTTGAAAAACGAGTTTTAATGACTCCAACCTAAGTGTATGTAAACGTCCGACTTCAACTGTAAATAAAACAGTCTTGATAATATAGCTGCAGCAGCACATAAATAAAACACAGACTTGTGGAGGACAGAGGAGCCTCTTAAAGAAGAAGTTACAGGTCTGTGAGAGCCAGAAATCTTGCTTGTTTGTAGGTGACCAAATACTTATTTTCCACCATAATTTGCAAATAAATTCATTAAAAATCCTTTAAAATTTTTTTTCTCATTTCGTCTGTCATAGTTGACGTGTACCTATGATGAAAATTACAGGCCTCTCTCATCTTTTTAAGTGGGAGAACTTGCACAATTGGTGGCTGACTAAATACTTTCTTCCCCCACTGTAGCTGCAGCAGTACATACATAAAACACAGACTTGATAATATAGCTGCAGCAGCACATATATAAAACAGTCTTGATAATATTGCTGCAGCAGCACATAAATAAAACAGTCTTGATAATAATACAGGACAGATTAGAGCTTGGACTGGGCTGAGTGGGAGCTGCCCTCCAATAGGGGTGGGAGGGCCAAGAGACCTGATGTGGCAATAAGATGTTATACAGTCAGAGGAGATAGGGACCAAATACTTTATTTATAAGAATCTTTAGGGGTGTCAATCATTTTGACCCCTACCTTTTTGAGATTTGTTTGTATTTCTTGTTAAACAAATTCTCTTTCTCTAAATAAATTGTATTAGTATAAAATAATTTAATTTCCCCCCAAAAATTGAGCATTCAACATAGCTCAGTATTTGAAATATATATTTTATACAGTCATTATTGCTCATCTTTATCAAGGGTGAGAGAGAGAGAGAGAGAGAGAGAGAGAGAGAGAGAGATGTTGACAGGTATGGTAGCTCTGGTCCTAGTTAACAATAATAATATCACAACAGATTCAGAGTAGTGTATATTAGCAGGTATGGTAGCTCTGGTCCTAGTTAACAATAATAATATCACTACATTACATTAACAAGACAACCAAAGAAACATTTCCCTTTTCTCTCCCTGAGAGTGAGAATATTAGTTCCAGTCCTAACAATACTACTGTCATCATAACACACTACAGTATATACATCAACAAGACACCTTTTCTCTCTTCTCCTTGAGAGTGTGACTTTGATCCCTGTAACCTAGATGATCAATAAGCCTTGAGGTTTGTGAACTGTGGAAATGACTGGCTTCTTTAATGGATTCATAATGTTGTGTCCCTGAACCGGTCAGTTACATCTGAAGTGAAGCGATCAAAAACATCCATCAGAGGGGATGGGGAAGAGAGAGAGTGAGAGTGAGAGTGAGAGTGAGAGAGAGAGAGAGAGAGAGAGAGAGAGAGAGAGAGAGAGAGAGAGAGATAGAGATGAGAAGAGCAGCGGCAGACTGCATACAAAGTCTATAGTGCATTACTTATGACACCCTGCTATTCCTGATATAGTGCATTACTTATGACACCCTGCTATTCCTGATATAGTGCATTACTTATGGCACCCTGCTATTCCTGATATAGTGCATTACTTATGACACCCTGCTATTCCTGATATAGTGCATTACTTATGACACCCAGCTATTCCTGATATAGTGCATTACTTATGGTACCCAGCTATTCCTGATATAGTGCATTACTTATGGTACCCTGCTATTCCTGATATAGTGCATTACTTATGGTACCCAGCTATTCCTGATATAGTGCATTACTTATGGTACCCAGCTATTCCTGATATAGTGCATTACTTTGGTCAAAAGTAGTGTAGAACAGGGAAGAGGGTGCCTGCAAGATATGCACTACAATATGAAATACGGTTGTCAACAGTACTGTTCTACAGTCAAAAGTACTGTTCTACAGTCAAAAGTACTGTTCTACATAGGGAATAGGGTCGTCAAAAGTACTGTTCTACAGTCAAAAGTACTGTTCTATATATGGAATGGGGTCGTCAAAAGTACTGTTCTACATAGGGAATAGGGTCGTCAAAAGTACTGTTCTACTTAGGGAACAGGGTGGCATTTTAGATACACACTTTAAAGTTTCTGCCTGTCTGATCACTGTCTCAGAGCGACTAAAGAGGCTCCCTGGAAAGCATCACTTCTCTCCAGAGACTCATTTTAGTCCCAAATCGAAACCCCCACCCCCACCCCCTCCTCCTCCTCCTCCTCCTCACCCCTCCCCCTCCTCCTCTCCCTCCTCCCTCTCCTCTCCTATATCTTCTCTGTACTTCAATTAGTCAGACACAAGAGTAATGATGCTCTGGGAATAATGGAATTCTGTTTAAGAGTTATTATAGGGCAAATTGAATATAGATTGACACAACATTATTCAATTACAACATATGTGGCTCATTACTGACGATGAGTTTAGATAAAAGGCAGTCTAACAGAAAGTGGGACAACATCTACGGCTAGCTGGTATTTAGCATTTTTATATTACTATAACATTATACTGTATCTTTGTATTCATTTTGTTTCAGCTCAGGATAACTAACATACACTTTCACTTTTCAGACAGTCTTTTTGTTTCAGCTCAGGATAACTAACATACAGTTTCACTTTTCAGACAGTCATTTTGTTTCAGCTCAAGATAACTAACAGACAGTTTTACTTTTCAGACAGTCATTTTGTTTCAACTCAGGATAACTAACATACAGTTTCACTTTTCAGACATTCATTTTGTTTCAGCTCAAGATAACTAACAGACAGTTTTACTTTTCAGACAGTCATTTTGTTTCAGCTCAGGATAACTAACATACAGTTTCACTTTTCAGACAGTCATTTTGTTTCAGCTCAAGATAACTAACAGACAGTTTTACTTTTCAGACAGTCATTTTGTTTCAGCTCAGGATAACTAACATACAGTTTCACTTTTCAGACAGTCATTTTGTTTGTATGACATTTGGGTTGTATGAACTATCAGAAATGTTGAATGCTGTCTGTTATTTGGTATAGAAGTTTTGAAGGATATGTGGTATTTTCTACAAGTTGCTCAGGCTTTCTTTCCACACTTACTGGTGTAGTTAGGAGCATTTACATTCATAGAGGATAACACAATAAAGTTTGACAACTAATTTCTAGTGTTCTAATGTTGTCCACTTACTGGTGCAGTTAGGAGCGGTGCCGGACCAGGTAGCAGTAGTACTTACTGGTGCAGTTAGGAGCGGTGCCGGACCAGGTGCCGTTGGCCAGACAGTGTCTGGTGGGCATGCCGGAGAGGAGGTATCCATCCATACAGGAGTAGACTACAGAGTGGGTGAAGGTCGTACCGTCGACCCGGAAAATACGGCCGTGAGCAGGGGACCCCGGGTTACCACAGTGCACCGCTGGAGTGAAGGAGAGACAGAGAGAGAGAGAGAGAGAGAGAGAGAGGGAGAGACAGAGTTAAGGGGGGTCAAGAACACTAATTGCTAAACACTAATTCTAATGTCTTTCTAAAACATAAAATGTGACTCATCCAACCCAGATGATTATTAATGTAATGTTCGGTAGTAGGAAACTAAGAGAGGATTCTGTTCTGTTTATCAGTGTTTCTCTCCTCCTAGCACTTCATTATATTTCATTACCAAAATGATTTTCCCTCTCAATCACTTTATTGTCTGGAAAATTGTCAAATGATTTCTGAGGCAGGCAGCTAGGCTGTAGGATGGAGCTGGTAGGAAGGAAGGAGAGGTTTCCCCCTCAATCACTTCCTGACATGACGAGGCCACTGAAGGGATTGAATGTGCTCTGAATATGTTATATAGTAGTGCACTACTTTTGACCAGAGCCCTATTGACTTATCAAATATGGTGCCATTGGGATGCAACTTATTCAGCACGTTCTGTGCTATGGACCCTGGTCAAAAGAAGTTCACTATATTGGGAAAGTGTGTCATTTAGGACAGACAATATGTTAAATCTGTGGTAAATATCCCCACTGTTTCAGTAAACTAGAAAGCACCGGGATGATATGCTCACATTGCTCCCGTTAAATACCAGTCAAGCTCTTGGATCAAAGCTGAAGCAGAAACAACACAGTTCAGTCAATGAGAGGATCCAGCCTGTCAGGATAGAGGATAGCTAACCATCTATAAATCAGTTCAGTCATTGAGAGGATCCAGCCTGTCAGGATAGAGGATAGCTAACCATCTATAAATCAGTTCAGCTGCAAGCCACATCAAGGCTAGAGTGGTGAGCGGGGAGTTCAGTAGCCTGTCATTAAAAAGGACATTTTGCATGTCTCAACTGCCACCGTATTCTCTATATAGTTCACTACTTTTGATGAAATGTAGTTCAAAGTGCATTAAACAGACAATAGGGTGCTATTTGAGACCCAGCCATGGACATTGTGTCTGTCAGGCTGAGGCTGGGAGAGTTAATAACCATCAAGGAGAAACGGAAGCCTGTCAGAGATTCTCTGCCATTTCCGGTCAAACCCTGAGGCAATTTATGCACTGCAGCAGAGAAGTGGCCTGTGATCCAATGTTTAAAATGTAATTAATCACGTCAGAAGTAGAAGTTGGCTTGAGGCTGAAAAATAAAGGGTTTTACCAGGATTCTGGAAGCAAAGAAATATTGTTCGGTTGGTTTTGAGCACTGTCTTTTTCTAAGGACAATGTGCTAGTGAAATATACTAATTTACAGCTAATTGCGTGTGTGCTCCTGTGTGTGCTCCTGTTGTGTGTGTGTGCTCCTGTTGTGTGTATGTGCTTCTGTGTGTGCTCCTGTGTGCTCCTGTTGTGTGTGTATGTGCTCCTGTGTGTGCTCCTGTTGTGTGTGTGTGCTCCTGTGTGTGCTCCTGTTGTGTGTCTGTGTGTGTGTGCTCCTGTGTGTGCTCCTGCATGTGCTCCTGTTGTATGTGTGTTTTCCTGTGTGTGCTCCTGTTGAGTGTGCGTGCTCCTGTGTGTGCTCCTGCATGTGCCGTTGTGCATGCATAATGTAAACCATTTACAGCTAATTGCATATTCATTGTGTGTGTGCTCCTGTGTGTGCTCCTGTTGTGTGTGTTTGCTCCTGTGTGTGATCCTGTGTGTGCTCCTGTTGTGTGTGTGTGCTCCTGTGTTTGCTCCTGTTGTGTGTGTGTGCTCCTGTGTGTGCTCCTGTTGTGTGTGCTTGCTCCTGTGTGTGCTCCTGTGTGTGCTCCTGTTGTGTTTGTGTGCTCCTGTTGTGTTTGTGTGCTCCTGTGTGTGCTCCTGTGTGTGCTCCTGCGTGTGCTCCTGCATGTGCCGTTGTGCATGCATACTGTAAACCATCCATTCAATCTCCATGTGCTTGCCTCTAAACATTTAGTATTCACATCACTGTCCTATCTACCACTAAGCCTCACGTTTGCAGAAGGGCTGTCTCCCAGACCAGGTTCCGTTGGGAAAGCAGATCCTCTCAGCTGAGCCGTATAGTGTGTGGCCCACAGTGCAGGTGAAGCGCACCTTACTACGCAGATGGAAGCTGCTGGCCTCTCTGCTTGCATGGACGGGTGTACCAGGGTCCCCGCAGCTTCCTTCAGAGTCTCCTACACAGGACATAGAGAGAGAGAATGAACCTGACCGCTCAGGCTGCATCCCAACTGGCACCCTATTCCCAGCTGACATGACGGACATGAGAACCCAGCCAGGTGTAGTTAACAGGTGAATTAGAGGATAGGTACGAACCCAGCCAGGTGTAGTTAACAGGTGAATCAGAGGATAGGTATGAACCCAGCCAGGTGTAGTTAACAGGTGAATCAGAGGATAGGTATGAACCCAGCCAGGTGTAGTTAACAGGTGAATCAGAGGATAGGTATGAACCCAGCCAGGTGTAGTTAACAGGTGAATCAGAGGATAGGTATGAACCCAGCCAGGTGTAGTTAACAGGTGAATCAGAGGATAGGTACGAACCCAGCCAGGTGTAGTTAACAGGTGAATCAGAGGATAGGTACGAACCCAGCCAGGTGTAGTTAACAGGTGAATCAGAGGATAGGTATGAACCCAGCCAGGTGTAGTTAACAGGTGAATCAGAGGATAGGTATGAACCGAGCCAGGTGTAGTTAACAGGTGAATCAGAGGAAAGGTATGCTGTGAGGGCTCTAGCTTTCACATTAACATGAGATAACACTGACTTTCCTAGGAAGCAGTAACAGATGCAGTGCTAGAGTGTTACTCTGGCTCGGTCCCAAATGGCACCCTATTCCCTACATAGTGCACTACTTGGCCAAAGGTTTAGGGAATAGGGTGCCATTTGGGACACATCCAACCTCAGTCGTTGCAAATGAATTAGTGGAGGCACTTTATGGTAGCTTAACTTTCCCCCCATTAAAAAGCTCCAGTAGGAAACTGGGACATGTTCCCTTGTGAAGCTGAGGATGAGGGGAAGAGAGGAGAGGAGGGGAGGGGAGGAGGAGAGTGACCGATCCCATCTTCTGAACATTTCATATTGTAATGAAGAACAAGTCAAGCAGAGCAGATCAGATCAGAGCGAGAAAGAAAGAGAGAGAGAGCGAGAGAGCGAGAGCGAGAGCGAGAGCGAGAGCGAGAGCGAGAGAGAGAGCGAGAGCGAGAGAGAGAGAGAGAGAGAGAGGCCAGGGACCAGGAGTCGTGAAGGTCGCATTCCGGGGGGTGAAAGATAAAGTGGATGTCCTCCGGCTGAAGCAACATCTGAAGAGCAGCCAAAAATTCAAGAGGGTGTTCATCAGATCGGCCAAGTCCCACAAAGATCGAATCATCCAACTCCACTTCAGAACAGTCCTACGAGAGATCCCGGCTGGGAGAGATTTCTATATTTCGGGGAATGGGAGGATGAGGAAGCGACTCCACTATTGACTTGGATGGTTATTCTTGGTTTGGACACAACCGAAACGTTCACATAAGAGCCCATAAAGCTTCAGGTGGCGTTGGACTTTTTTTGTTAGGAACAAATGATTTGAACAATATAGAGTGAACATTGATTTGAACACTGTGTCGCAATATTCTTTCGTTATATATTTTCTCTTGTTATTTACCACCGGATGGTTCTACAAGGGGACGGGTCTCAGGTCTCTATACACTGATCCTATGTATACGGTATGTATACAGTGGGGAGAACAAGTATTTGATACACTGCCGATTTTGCAGGTTTTCCTACTGACAAAGCATGTAGAGGTCTGTAATTTTTATCATAGGTACACTTCAACTGTGAGAGACGGAATCTAAAACAAAAATCCAGAAAATCACATTGTATGATTTTTAAGTAATTAATTTGCATTTTATTGCATGACATAAGTATTTGATACATCAGAAAAGCAGAACTTAATATTTGGTACAGAAACCTTTGTTTGCAATTACAGAGATCATACGTTTCCTGTAGGTCTTGACCAGGTTTGCACACACTGCAGCAGGGATTTTGGCCCACTCCTCCATACAGACCTTCTCCAGATCCTTCAGGTTTCGGGGCTGTCGCTGGGCAAGATCGACTTTCAGCTCCCTCCAAAGATTTTCTATTGGGTTCAGGTCTGGAGACTGGCTAGGCCACTCCAGGACCTTGAGATGCTTCTTACGGAGCCACTCCTTAGTTGCCCTGGCTGTGTGTTTCGGGTCGTTGTCATGCTGGAAGACCCAGCCACGACCCATCTTCAATGCTCTTACTGAGGGAAGGAGGTTGTTGGCCAAGATCTCGCGATACATGGCCCCATCCATCCTCCCCTCAATACGGTGCAGTCGTCCTGTCCCCTTTGCAGAAAAGCATCCCCAAATAATGATGTTTCCACCTCCATGCTTCACGGTTGGGATGGTGTTCTTGGGGTTGTACTCATCCTTCTTCTTCCTCCAAACACGGCGAGTGGAGTTTAGACCAAAAAGCTCAATTTTTGTCTCATCAGACCACATGACCTTCTCCCATTCCTCCTCTGGATCATCCAGATGGTCATTGGCAAACTTCAGACGGGCCTGGACATGTGCTGGCTTGAGCATGGGGACCTTGCGTGCGCTGCAGGATTTTAATCCATGACGGCGTAGTGTGTTACTAATGGTTTTCTTTGAGACTGTGGTCCCAGCTCTCTTCAGGTCATTGACCAGGTCCTGCAGTGTAGTTCTGGGCTGATCCTTCACCTTCCTCATGATCATTGATGCCCCGCGAGGTGAGATCTTGCATGGAGCCCCAGACCGAGGGTGATTGACCGTCATCTTGAACTTCTTCCATTTTCTAATAATTGCGCCAACAGTTGTTGCCTTCTCACCAAGCTGCTTGCCTATTGTCCTGTAGCCCATCCCAGCCTTGTGCAGGTCTACAATTTTATCCCTGATGTCCTTACACAGCTCTCTGGTCTTGGCCATTGTGGAGAGGTTGGAGTATGTTTGATTGAGTGTGTGGACAGGTGTCTTTTATACAGGTAACGAGTTCAAACAGGTGCAGTCTGGATTTTTGTTTTAGATTCCGTCTCTCACAGTTGAAGTGTACCTATGATAAAAATTACAGACCTCTACATGCTTTGTAAGTAGGAAAACCTGCAAAATCGGCAGTGTATCAAATACTTGTTTTCCCCACTGTATGTGGACAGTCTTGTTGCCGATCTGAAAGATTGTATAATTTACGCTCATGGTGTGGTATTTTGGTATTTGGTATTTTATTAGGATCCCCATTAGCTCTTGCAAAAGCAGCAGCTACTCTTCCTGGGGTCCACACAAAACATGAAGCATGACATAATACAGAACATTAATAGACAAGAACAGTTCAAGGACAGAACTACATACATTTTAAAAAAAAGGCACACGTAGTCTACATATCAATACATACACACAAACTATCTAGGTCAAACAGGGGAGAGGCATTGTGCCGTGAGGTGTTGCTTTATCTGTTTTTTGAAACCAGGTTTGCTGTTTATTTGAGCAATATGAGATCGAACGGAGTTCCATGCAAAAATGTCTCTATATAATACAGTACGCTCTCTTGAATTTGTTCTGGATTTGAGGACTGTGAAAAGACCCCTGGTGGCATGTCTGGTGGGGTAAGTGTGTGTGTCAGAGCTGTGTATAAGTTTACTATGCAAATAATTTGGGATTTTCAACATAATAATGTTTCTTATAAAGTTGCTATAGACAGGTGGAAAGAGGCATGGGGCAACGTTCATTGAATTCTTAAAGGATTCCAAGTGCTGCATTCTGAATGGTAGACTACCACCACAAAACTCTCATCAATATCACCAAAGGGAAAAGCAGTCGTCCACTATATTGTAACACCCCATGACTGTCTCAAGACATGTGTTGAGTTGAATGTGATTACTTCAACTGAGCTGAGTGTATTGGCCTGATTGGAGACCGTAGTAGACTTCCTGATCATTCATTGTTGTCTATTATGAAATGCATGGTGGGAAACTATACTGGGGAGGAAGGCAATGTAGGCTTATATAAATCAAGTGCAAATCAGACCAAAAGAAGGCCCAGAAACCTACCTGACCATTGTCTTTCATCTGACATGTGCTGTACTGTTCTTACGGACCTTATTGATAACCTGGAAGCTTGCCAGAAAACACCAAATAATATTGATCAGCGGTATGGCCGGTTCTGTCATGTACTACATGAGGCAATGGAAAAGTCTTTACCTGTTAAATCAGTTCCATACAAGCCTAAGAGACCTCAACTAATTGGTCAACTGTATTGGATAAAATAGTTAAGTCATTTCTGGTCTGTAATGAGATGTTCCTGAAATGTAAAGGCCAATCAATGAGAAGAGGTTCAACGTGGAACTGACAGCAGTTAAGCAACATCACATCTTATTCAAATCGGTTCATATACACCCCGAGAAAGAATATGACACTTTTTAAAACATTTTCTGACAAGTGAGCACTTAGATATGGTCATTTTCACGTTTTCATAAATTCATAGAATATTTGGGAATTACGTATAGTAAGGCATTCTATAGCAATATAGAGTTTGGACAATTAATAGACACTGCAGTAAATAAAACCTGATAAAAACATTATCTTGTCCAGGACCGGAGTCTATGCAGACCGGTGCACCATAGCCAATCAGAGCTTCAGTAGGCCTTTATGCAAACAAGCCATTTGCCACACAGGCCTGCCATCATTGACTTTGAACTGGACTGTGTGTTTACAGGCAGTTGGAACAGTGCAACTTTAGATCATTAGAACACATTCGCCAAAAGCCACAAAATACACCAGATTGGATTTCTGCAAATATGTCAATATCACGGGAGTCCTCTTACATTTGGCAACTTTACAGTCATATTGATCAAACAACCATGAAAAGGTAGGATCTGGAGGAAGTTAGGAAGGCTGTTGAAAAAGCAGAAACTAGAAGAAAAAAAACTAGAGAAGCTACATAATATAGATGAATAGAGTCCTAAAAGTCCTGAAGTCTCCTAGGTTACTGCAGACTCTATTTAGTCTTTTTCAAATGTGTTTTAAAAATGGTATCATCCCTTCAACTTGGTACAGATCCATAATTAAACCAATCCCAAAGTCAGCAAAGAATGATCCAGGGTCCTTTAAATTACATATCAGCCTTATTAGCAGTCTACAGTTATACTCTGGGATCTTAAACAACAGGTTCATTTATACTCTGGGATCTTAAACAACAGGTTCATTTATACTCTGGGATCTTAAACAATAGGTTCATTTATACTCTGGGATCTTAAACAACAGGTTCAGTTATACTCTGGGATCTTAAACAACAGGTTCATTTTTACTCTGGGATCTTAAACAACAGGTTCATTTATACTCTGGGATCTTAAACAACAGGTTCAGTTATACTCTGGGATCTTAAACAACACGTTCAATTATACTCTGGGATCTTAAACAACACGTTCAGTTATACAAATATATAGAGCTCCAGTCTCCTGTGGACAGGTAAATGAACTGAAGACTGGATGGTTTCCTATATAGAGCTCCAGTCTCCTGTGGACAGGTAAATGAACTGAAGACTGGATGGTTTCCTATATACAGCTCCAGTCTCCCGTGGACAGGTTAATGAACTGAAGACTGGATGGTTTCCTATTTAGAGCTCCAGTCTCCTGTGGACAGGTAAATGAACTGAAGACTGGATGGTTTCCTATATACAGCTCCAGTCTCCCGTGGACAGGTTAATGAACTGAAGACTGGATGGTTTCCTATTTAGAGCAAAGCTGTCATCAAGGCAAAGGGTGGCTATTTGAAGAATCTCAAATATAAAATACGTTTTGATTTGTTTAACACTTTTTTGGTTACTACATCATTTCACATGTGTTATTTCATAGTTTTGATGTCTTCACTATTATTCTAAAACCCTTGAATGAGTAGGTGTTCTAAAACTTTTGACCGGTAGTGTATACTGTTTGATAAAATGTTGCAAAGAAAACAGAAACTATTCTGGACTAGAGATAAAGAAAAACTTGAATGGTTATTTTGGAAATAAGTATTCCTGGTTGCAAATGTAATCTCCAAAGCTTGGAAGATGCGATTAGATCAGTTAATTGAAAGGTTCTGGTTTTGTTTTCTCAGTAGTTTTTCACTGCCGTATGAAAGCCATCACACTGCACACTGCCCTATCCCATCTGGACAGGAGGAATACCTATGTAAGAATGCTGTTCATTGACTATAGCTCAGCATTCAACACCATAGTACCCTCCAAGCTCATCATTAAGCTCAAGGCCCTGGGTCTGAACCCCGCCCTGTGCAGCTGGGTCCTGGACATCCTGACGGGCCGCCCCCCAGGTGGTCCACATCGACGGGACAACAGTGGAGAAGGTGGAAAGCTTCAAGTTCCTTGGCGTACACATCACTGACAAACTGAAATGGTCCACCCACACAGACAGTGTGCTGAAGAAGGTGCAACAGAGCCTCTTCAACCTCAGGAGATTGAAGAAATTTGGCTTGGCACCTAAAACCCTCACAAACTTTTACAGATGCACAATTGAGAGCATCCTGTTGGGCTGTATCACCGCCTGGTAAGGCAACTGCACTGCCCGCAACCACAGGGCTCTCCAGAGGGTGGTGCGGTCTGCAGAACGCATTACCGGGGGCAAACTACCCACCCTCCAAGACACCTACAGCACCCGATGTCACAGGAAGGCCAAAAAGATCATCAAGGACATCAACCACCCGAGCCACTGCCTGTTCACCCCGCTATCATCCAGAAGGCGTGGTCAGTACAGGTACATCAAAGCTGGGACCAAGAGAATGAAAAACAGCTTCTATCTCAAGGCCATCAGACTGTTAAATAGCCATCACTAGCACATTAGAGGCTGCTGCTGCCTATTGAAATCACTGGCCACTTTAAGAAATGGAACACTAGCCACTTTAATAATGTTTACATATCTTGCACTACTCATCTCATATGTATTTACTGTATTCTATTCTATAATATACTACTGTATCTTAGTCCATGCCGCTCTGTCATTGCTTGTCCATATATGTATATATTCTTACATTTCATTCCTTACTTAGATTTGTGTGTATTGGGTATATGTTGTGAAATTGTTAGATATTACTTGTTAGATATTACTGCACTGTCGGAGCTAGAAGCACAAGCATTTCACTACACCCGCTATAACATCTGCTAAAACACGTGTATGTGACAAATACAATTTGATTAGATTTGATGTTTATATATATATATATATGTATGTGTGCATATATAGACATAATTATGTTATTTTGCTACAGCAAATACACTGTCTTATAAGCCCATGTGGGCTGGATATCCTGAAGATGCATGACTATACTAATAAAGAACTCAATCACATCATGTAAACACGGGAGTCAGAACTGTAGCATGACTTTTGCAGTTGTCCAAATCTATTCTGTTATAGACAGATTTTCCCAGATCAGTCTGTAATTAAAGCACACGAAAGTTCACATGTTCAGGAAGTAATTTCTACTAAATGTCCTTGCTGACAGTCTCCCACCTCCAGGCGTTTAATAAATTGTCCTGGCTGACAGTATTAAAACGACACCACAGCAAGCTACCCTATAACACACTAGTATTCTGTCTGCTAGTGTCAGCTGGTAATGTAATAAATTACTTGGAATGTGTATACCTGTGTATATGTAACACCATTAGTACCTGTCTGCAACAAGCTCCAATCTGGACAACCGTGGGCAGTAATCATGGCCCTTTGCTCTAGCTAGCTAATATCTGAGTTGTTGACAGAGAGCCTTCGTGTCTGAACCTGAAGAAGTTCACATAATATCCCATCATATCCCTCTCCACACGTCTTTACATGAGACAGATTTCAGGTCAGAGGCTCTCAGCACAGCTGGTGTTGAGGTGCTGCAGGAGAGAAGAGGACCGTGTCTGTGTGAGTCAGAGAGAGCAGAGAGAGAGGCTGGACACTTCAGGAGAGAAGAGTATCTGTGTGAGTCAGAGAAAGAGGCTGGACGTAGCAAGAGAGGAGAGGAGCGTGTCTGTGTGAGTCAGAGAGAGCGGCTGGATGTGTAATGTCCTGGCTGACAGTCTCCACCTCCAGGCGTTTAAATGTCCTGGCTGACAGTATCCACATCCAGGCGTTTAAATGTCCTGGCTTACAGTATCCACATCCAGGCGTTTAAAAGTCCTGGCTGACAGTCTCCACATCCAGGCGTTTAAATATCCTGGCTGACAGTCTCCACATCCAGGCGTTTAAATGTCCTGGCTGACAGTCTCCACATCCAGGCGTTTAAATGTCCTGGCTGACAGTCTCCACATCCAGGCTTTTGTGGTAAAGATACTAAAGTGTTCGAGTTAATACTTTAAAAACTCAGACCACGTTCCAAAAGGCACCCTATTCCCTATGGGCCCTGGTCAAAAGTAGTACACTACATAGAGAATAGTTTGGGACGCAGCCTCAAGTTCTGAGGCTGAGAATTTAAATAGCATGATCAACTGTGAAACCACTCTGCTTTCCTCTCTCTGCTTACACACACCGACCTGTATTTTTGGGTCAGTGAATTAAACAGAGTATACACTTCTTTCACAGGCAGTAAAGATGTTTTAGGAGAGATTTGAGATTGAATTTAAACGGTCAGGAACACTTAACGGCGATGGACTGGATGAACAGTGGTGGGATTTAGGGAGGAAGGTAGGAGCCTTGCTGAAACATCAAACTAAATATCCCTGGTGGTGGGGAGGGATGGATGGAAACTTGGAAAGCAAGCAACCGATTCAAATCTAGGAAGTACAGAGCAGAGAGGTAAGTGAGGTCTTGGATTTGGGAACAAACCACATTATAATAATGATTTGGGATGCATATGGGAACAAACCATATTATAATAATGATTTGGGATGCATATGGGAACAAACCACATTATAATAATGATTTGGGATGCATATGGGAACAAACCATATTAAAATAATGATTTGGGATGCATATGGGAACAAACCATATTATAATAATGATTTGGGATGCATATGGGAACAAACCACATTATAATAATGATTTGGGATGCGTATGGGAACAAACCACATTATAATAATGCACTACTACACAACAAAACTTCAGGAGGTCAATTTCCTGACTTCATCTGAGCAGTGCTACTGAACTCTGTGTCTGTGGCCTCTTTACCTGAACAGTGAGGTATGGGTCCTTGCCTGAACAGTGAGGTATGGGTCCATACCTGAACAGTGAGGTATGGGTCCTTGCCTGAACAGTAAGGTATGGGTCCTTACCTGAACAGTAAGGTATGGGTCCTTACCTGAATAGTGAGGTATGGGTCCTTGCCTGAACAGTGAGGTATGGGTCCTTGCCTGAACAGTGAGGTATGGGGCCGCTCCAGTGTCCATTGAGTTGACAGGTGATTGATGACTCTCCAATCAGCTCTCTGTCCCCTGAACAGGAGTACTGCACCAGGGAGCCAAACGAAAACTTTTCCCCAACCATGGTACCGTAGGGAGGAGAGCCAGGGTTCCCACAGTCCTCTTCTATAACACACAGTAACATTCCCCATAGCCAACAGTTAGCTACTTATGGCTCATTAACATTGTATGTGTCCCAAATGGCACCCTATTCCCTATATAGTGTACTACTTTTGACCAGAACCCTATGGCCCCTGGTCAAATGTAGTGTACTATATAGGGAATGGGGTGCCATTTGGGAGGCAGGCATCATTAACACTACACTCTTAGAAAAAAGGGTTTCCAAAAGGGTTCTTTGGCTATCCCCATAGAATAACACTTTTTGGTTCCAGGTAGAACTATTTTGGGTTCCATGTAGAACCCTCTGTGGAAAGGGTTCTAAATGGAACCCAATAGGGTTCTACCTTTTTCTAAGAGTGCATAGGTCAGTATAGTCATTACAGTCAGCATTTATTAGGTAATTAGCATTTAGACAGACATTGGTTACAAACATTTGTGACCTATACAAATCAAGTTCACTAAGGATAAAACACATGGTTAGAACAACAGGTAGATCATGGAGAAATGCTAGGATGAATGTCACTTACAGCAAAAGCTAAGCACTATTGCACAATAAATGTGAACTGTGCATCAACCCTAGGTGAGCATAAGCTTCCTTTTTCTCTCTGGCCTACTCCTGCACCTCAGTAGTTGTGGGTGTGTGGTACAAATGTAGGATCTTAATTTGACCTGTATTGTGGCAGCAAAATAATCCTGCAGCAACAGGATTTGAATGTGTAGTCCATAATGTTGATTGATCGGGGTTTAGGCTATTAGCTGGTCAAAATGAGGCTACATGAAAAGTGGAATACTGTTAATATAACTGTGTGATAGTGCAGGTTTTCAGTGAATTTCTATAAATCACGACGCGCATCTGCATTTCATCAGCAACAAAACAGCGATCAAATTAAGATCCTACATCTGTAGCTCGAACAAGTTCTGAAGAGAAAACAGACGTACCAAGACATTCAGGTAGAGGTTTGTCCCAGTGGCCAATAGGTTGACAGGTCAGTGCAGAGGAACCAAACAGGTAGTATCCAGGGTTACAGTTGTAGAACACCACACTGCCCAACGTGAAGTTACCATGCTCTATCTTACTCTCTCTGATAGAGTTAGCCGGGATGCCTGGGTCTGTGCAGTTCACCACTGGATGGAAATAAAACACATAGAATTATTATCACTATATCATGTTAATAAAATGATTTCAATAACAACAATTGTCAAAACTATTGTATCACTAACAACTGTTGTCAACCATGTCAATATTTTCCCTAGCCTGGTTCCAGATCTGTTTGTACTGTCTTGAAAGCACAAACAGATCTGGAACCAGGCTACAATTTCCCTAATTAACGTATATATTTTCCTATCAACCATCATCATACCATAGCTCTAATTGTTCCCTCTGGGAAGCTCATACTTTTTTGTATATTCCATCTGGCTGAACTATTCATTATAAAGCGCTACCTGTGTTATCTGTCAAGTGTTGTCTTTGTTCAATTGCCAGTTAATAATAGAATCGCTGAAATGACACAATCACAGCCTGCTCCTGTTTATACTATGACTAGCTATCAGAACTTGACGTACCCATGCTATATTAAGTATTTTAAATACTAATGATGCTTAAAATGACTCATTTATTTTCCACAGATAGGCTATAGGTGTCAGATGTCTGTGCTTTGCTGTTTCTGTAGCCAAGAAATGCTTTGAAAGGCTGGTCATGGTTCACATCAACACCATCATCCCAGACACACTGGACCCACTCCAATTCGCATACCGTCCCAACAGATCCACAGATGATGCAATCTCTATTGCACTCCACACTGTCCTTTCCCACCTGGACAAAAGGAACACCTACGTGAGAATGCTGTTCATTGACTACAGCTCAGCATTCAACACCATAGTGCCCTCCAAGCTCATCATTAAGCTAAGGTTCTTTGGATTGAACACCTCCCTCTGCAGCTGGATCGACATGTTGGACTTCCTGACGGGCCACCCCGAGGTGGTGAGGGTAGGTAACATCACCTCCACCACGCTGACCATTAACACGGGGGCCCCACAGGGGTGTGTGCTTAGTCCCCTTCTGTACTCTCTGTTCACCCATGACTGCGTGGCCACGCATGACTCCAACACCATCATTAAGTTTGCCGACGACGGTAGTAGGCCAGATCACCGACGACGATGAGACAGCCTATAGGGAGGAGGTCAGAGACCTGGCAGTGTGGTGCCAGGACATCAGCCTCTCCCTCAACGTTAGCAAGACAAAGGAGCTGATTGTGGACTACAGGAAAAGGAGGGCTGAGCACGCCCCCGTTCACATCGACGGGGCTGTAGTGGAACATGTCGAGAGCTTCAAGTTCCTTGGTGTCCACATCACTAAGAACCTATCATGGTCCAAACACATCAGCACAGTCATGAAGAGGGCCTCTTCCCCATTGGGAGGCTGAAAAGACTTGGCATGGGTCCTCAGATCCTCAAAAAGTTATACAGCTGTACCAACGAGAGCATCCTGACTGGTTGCATCACCGCTTGGTATGGCAACTGCTCGGCATCCGACCACAAGGCACTACAGAAGGTAGTGTGTACGGCCCAGTACATCACTGGGGCCAAGCTTCCTGCCATCCAGGACCTCTATACCAGGTGGTGACAGAGGAAGGCCCTAAAAAAACTATTTGCATTGACCCCCTTATTTTGTTATTATTTATTCTTATTTTTTGCACTGACTCTCTTCCACCGGCTCGATGTACACTCAGTGGACTTTAACCACACACTCACACATACTACAATGATAATCCAACACACACACACATGGACACGCAGACAAAACACACACACACACACACACAGACAGACACACATTCACACTCTTCACATACGCTGCTACTACTCTGTTTATTATCTATCCCCTTTGCCTAGTCACTTTTACCACTAGCTACATGTACATCTTACCTCAACTACCTCGTACCCCTGCACAGTGACTCTGTACCAGTACTGCTTGTATATAGCCTCATTATTGTTATTTTATAGTGTTACTATTTTTCCTTTAGTTTATTTAGCAAGTTTCTTACTTACTTACTCTGTATTGTTGGTTAAGGGCTTGTAAGTAAGCATTTCACAGTAAGGTCTACACCTGTTGTATTCGGCGCATGTGACAAATAACATTTGATTTGAGTGTGTGTGTGTACGTACATTTTTACATTTGACATTTTAGTCATTTAGCAGACGCTCTTATCCAGAGCGACTTACAGTTAGTGAATGCATACATTTTCATACATAGGCAATTTCACTGGAACACTGATGGGGACACTGAATGTGGCCGTTGTTCCATAAAAATGTAAACGCGTACGTGCGTGTGCGTTTGTGCATGTATGTGTGCATGCCAGTGCGTGATGCTGTGCCTGTGTGTGTGCGCGGGCGTGTGTGTGAGCGGGCATGAGTGAGTGCATGCCTCCATACGTGCGTGTGTGTGTGTGTGTACGTTGGAGTGTGTGTGTGTGTGTACGTTGGAGTGTGTGTGTGTGCCTACTGCCTGCTACCCACCTCTGCATGTAGGTGGCTGTTGACTCCACTGGCGGCTCGCCTGGCACTGGGCTCTGGCTGCTCCCTCCAGTATGTAGCCTTTGTTACAGAAGAAGCTGACCACATCGTTGTAGTTGAATCCATCCCCTGTAGTTCTTCCATAGATGGGACTGCCTGGATGGCCACATGTGATGGCTACACACATAGAAATGCAATTACTGGAATTACTAGAACGCGTTTACATTTTTATGGACCGACGGCCACATTGAGTATGCCCATCAGTTTTCTTGTGAAATTGCCTCGGTCTAGGCATGGTCTTCAAATCTTCTTCAAGACAGTTCCACTGCTTTTTAATTCTGCCCCTCTAATAGAATACTGATTTAGATCTGGGACACCAGATGGGTGCAATTAATATTCAGTTAGAAAAGAAAAACAGCAGTACTCCGGACATCGTAGGGTAAGAATTGAATACCCCTGGTTTAAGGGGTTCACCATTCTAGTCATTCTATTTCTATGGATATAACAACATCTACAGATACAGACCAGTAGGGTAGATATAACAACATCTACAGATACAGACCAGTAGGGTAGATATAACAACATCTACAGATACAGACCAGTAGGGTAGATATAACAACATCTACAGATACAGACCAGTAGGGTAGATATAACAACATCTACAGATACAGACCAGTAGGGTAGATATAACAACATCTACAGATACAGACCAGTAGGGTAGATATAACAACATCTACAGATACAGACCAGTAGGGTAGATATAACAACATCTGCAGATACAGACCAGTAGGGTAGAGGTGAACACTTACAGACACACAGCGGCAGCTGTCCGGACCAGAGGTGGTCTTGCTGGCAGATGCGTACTGAGGATCCTATGAGTCTGAAGCCAGGGTTACACTGGTACACCACGGTGTCTCTGTAGCCAAAGTTCTCCCCTATCACCTGGCCGTTCACAATCTTCTCCGGGATACCACAGTGACCAGCTGGAGGGAGGTGTGGGGGTGGGAGGCAATCAGTCAATCAAATGTATTTAGCATATACACGCTTTTACAACAATATTTGCTGCAAAGTTAAACACATGGGGCAAATCTGAAATGTCATCCTATTTCTTATGCTGTCTACTCTGGTCAAAGGTAGTGCATTGTACAGGGGATAGGAAGTGACTTCAGACGCAGTCATGTACTGTTAGCCATCCAAGAAAGGAGGAAGAGAGCAGTCTATATATCCTCTATATATCCTCTATATATCCTCTATATGTTCTCTATATATCCTCTATATATCCTCTATATATCCTCTATATATACTCTATATATCCTCTCTATATATTCTATATAGCCTCTATATATCATCTATATATCCTCTATATATCCTCTATATATTCTCTATATAACTATATATCCTCTATATATATCTCTATATATCCTCTATATATCCTCTATATGTTCTCTATATATCCTCAATGTACTCTATATATACTCTCTATATATCCTCTATATGTTCTCTATATATCCTCTATATATCCTCTATATGTCCTCTCTATATACTCTCTATATCCTCTATATATACTCTCTATATATTATATACATCCTCTATATATCCTCTATATATTCTCTATATACTTTATATATCCTCTATATATTCTCTATATACCCTCTATATATCCTCTATATATCCCCTCTATAGCCTCTATATAGCCTCTATATATCCTCTATATACTCTATATATCTCCCGAGTGGCGCAGTGGTCTAGGGCACTGCATTGCATTTTACAAAAATTCAAAATGTAAAATGTCTAGCTGTGCCACTAGAGATCCTGGTTCGAATCCAGGCTCTGTCGTAGCTGGCCGTGACCGGGAGACCCATGGGGCGGCGCACAATTGGCCCAGCGTCATCCAGGGTAGGGGAGGGAATGGCCGGCAGGGATGTAGCTCAGTTGGTAGAGCATGGCGTTTGCAACGCCAGGGTTGTGGGTTCGATTCCCACGGGGGGCCAGTATGAAAAATAAAACAAATAATGTACGCACTCACTAACTGTAAGTCGCTCTGCTAAATGACTAAAATGTAAATGTAATATACAGTGCGGGAAAAAAGTATTTGATCCCCTGCTGATTTTGTACGTTTTATAGACATGATCAGTCTATAATTTTAATGGTAGGTTTATTTAAACAGTGAGAGACAGAATAACAACAAAAATATCCAGAAAAACGCATGTCAAAAATGTTATTTACATTTACATTTACGTCATTTAGCAGACGCTCTTATCCAGAGCGACTTACAAAATGGTACATTCACCTTATAGCCTGTGGGATCACCACTATACAATGTATTTTTTTTTATTATTAATTTTATTTTTTATATTATTATTTTATTTATTTTTTTATTTTTTTATTTTTTTTGGGGGGGGGGGGGTAGAAGGATTACTTTATCCTCTCCCAGGTATTCCTTAAAGAGGTGGGGTTTCAAATGTCTCCGGAAGGTGGTGAGTGACTCCGCTGTCCTGGCGTCGTGAGGGAGCTTGTTCCACCATTGGGGTGCCAGAGCAGCGAACAGTTTTGACTGGGCTGAGCGGGAACTATGCTTCCGCAGAGGAAGGGGAGCCAGCAGGCCAGAGGTGGATGAACGCAATGCCCTCGTTTGGGTGTAGGGACTGATCAGAGCCTGAAGGTACGGAGGTGCCGTTCCCCTCACAGCTCCATAGGCAAGCACCATGGTCTTGTAACAGATGCGAGCTTCAACTGGAAGCCAGTGGAGTGTGCGGAGGAGCAGGGTGACGTGAGAGAACTTGGGAAGGTTGAACAGCAGACGGGCTGCGGCATTCTGGATGAGTTGTAGGGGTTTAATGGCACAGGCAGGGAGCCCAGCCAACAGCGAGTTGCAGTAATCCAGACGGGAGATGACAAGTGCCTGGATTAGGACCTGTGCCGCTTCCTGTGTAAGGCAGGGTCGTACTCTCCGAATGTTGTAGAGCATGAACCTACAGGATCGGGTCACCGCCTTGATGTTAGCGGAGAGCGACAGGGTGTTATCAATTGATTTGCATTTTAATGAGGGAAATAAGTATTTGATCCCTCTGCAAAACATGACTTAGTACTTGGTGGCAAAACCCTTGTTGGCAATCACAGAGGTCAGACGTTTCTTGTAGTTGGCCACCAGGTTTGCACACATCTCAGGAGGGATTTTGTCCCACTCCTCTTTGCAGATCTTCTCCAAGTCATTAAGGTTTCGAGGCTGACGTTTGGCAACTCGAACCTTCAGCTCCCTCCACAGATTTTCTATGGAATTAAGGTCTGGAGACTGGCTAGGCCACTCCAGGACCTTAATATGTTTCTTCTTGAGCCACTCCTTTGTTGCCTTGGCCGTGTGTTTTGGGTCACTGTCATGCTGGAATACCCATCCACGACCCATTTTCAATGCCCTGGCTGAGGGAAGGAGGTTCTCACCCAAGATTTGACGGTACATGGCCCCGTCCATCGTCCCTTTGATGCGGTGAAGTTGTCCTATCCCCTTAGCAGAAAAAAACCCCCAAAGCATAATGTTTCCACCTCCATGTTTGACGGTGGGGATGGTGTTCTTGGGGTCATAGGCAGCATTCCTCCTCCTCCAAACACGGCGAGTTGAGTTGATGCCAAAGAGCTCGATTTTGGTCTCATCTAACCACAACACTTTCACCCAGTTCTCCTCTGAATCATTCAGATGTTTATTGGCAAACTTCAAACGGCCCTGTATATGTGCTTTCTTGAGCAGGGGGACCTTGCGGGCGCTGCAGGATTTCAGTCCTTCACGGTGTAGTGTGTTACCAATTGTTTTCTTGGTGACTATGGTCCCAGCTGCCTTGAGATCATTGACAAGATCCTCCCGTGTAGTTCTGGGCTGATTCCTCACCGTTCTCATGATCATTGCAACTCCACCAGGTGAAATCTTGCATGGAGCCCCAGGCCGAGGGAGATTGACAGTTATTTTGTGTTTCTTCCATTTGCGAATAATCGCACCAACTGTTGTCACCTTCTCACCAAGCTGCTTGGCGATGGTCTTGTAGCCCATTCCAGCCTTGTGTAGGTCTACAATATTGTCCCTGACATCCTTGGAGAGCTCTTTGGTCTTGGCCATGGTGGAGAGTTTGGAATCTGATTGATTGATTGCTTCTGTGGACAGGTGTCTTTTATACAGGTAACAAGATGAGATTAGGAGCACTCCCTTTAAGAGTGTGCTCCTAATCTCAGCTCGTTACCTGTATAAAAGACACCTGGGAGCCAGAAATCTTTCTGATTGAGAGGGGGTCAAATACTTATTTCCCTCATTAAAATGCAAATCAATTTATAACATTTTTTAAATGCATTTTTCTGGATTTTGTTGTTGTTATTCTGTCTCTCACTGTTCAAATAAACCTACCATTAAAATTATAGACTGATCATTTCTTTGTCAGTGGGCAAACGTACAAAATCAGCAGGGGATCAAATACTTTTTCCCCTCACTGTATTCTCTATATATCCTCTATATGTTCTCTATATATGTTCTCTATATATCCTCTATAAATTCCCATATATTCTCTATATGTTCTCTCCTCTATACAGTTGAAGTCGGAAGTTTATATACACTTAGGTTGGAGTCATTAAAACCACTCCACAAATGTCTTGTTAACAAACTATAGTTTTGGCAAGTCAGTTAGGACATCTACTTTGTGCATGACACAAGTAATTTTTCCAACAATAGTTTACAGACAGATTATTTCACAATTCCAGTGGGTCAGAAGTTTACATACACTAAGTTGACTGTGCCTTTAAACAGCTTGGAAAATTCCAGAAAATGATGTCATGGCTTTAGAAGCTTCTGATAGGCTAATTGACATTATTTGAGTCAATTGGAGGTGTACATGTGGATGTATTTCAAGGCCTACCTTCAAACTCAGTGCCTCTTTGCATGACATCATGGGAAAATCAAAAGAAATCAGCCAAGACCTCAGAAAGAAATTGTAGACCTCCACAAGTCTGGTTCATCCTTGGGAGCAATTTCCAAACGCCTGAAGGTACCACGTTCATCTGTACAAACAATAGTACGCAAGTATAAACACCATGGGACCACGCAGCCGTCATACCGCTCAGGAAGGAGATGCGTTCTGTCTCCTAGAGATGAGCTCAGCTGGTAGAGCACGGCGCTTGTAACGCCAAGGTAGTGGGTTCGATCCCCGGGACCACCCATACACAAAGAAAATTTATGCACGCATGACTGTAAGTCGCTTTGGATAAAAGCGTCTGCTAAATGGCATATCATTATTATTATTATAATGTACTTTGGTGCGAAAAGTGCAAATCAATCCCAGAACAACAGCAAAGGACCTTGTGAAGATGCTGGATACAGACTGCACATGGGGACAAAGATTGTACTTTTTGGAGAAATGTCCTCTGGTCTGATGAAACAAAAATATAACTGTTTGGCCATAATGACCATCCTTATGTTTGGAGGAAAAAGGGGGGGCTTGCAAGCCGAAGAAACACCATCCCAACCGTGAAGCACGGGGGTGGCAACATCATGCTGTGGGAGTGCTTTGCTGCAGGAGGGACTAGTGCATTTCACAAAATAGGTGGCATCATGAGGAAGGAAAATGATGTGGATATATTGAAGCAACATCTCAAGGCATCAGTCAGGAAGTTAAAGCTTGGTCACAAATGGGTCTTCCAAATGGACAATGACCCCAAGCATACTTCCAAGTTGTGGCAAAATGGCTTAAGGACAACAAAGTCAAAGTATTGGAGTGGCCATCACAAAGCCCTGACCTCAACCTTATAGAAAACTTGTGGGCAGAACTGAAAAAGCGTGTGCGAGCAAGGAGGCCTACAAACCTGACTCATTTACACCAGCTCTGTCAGGAGGAATGGGCCAAAATTCACCCAACTTATTGTGGGAAGCTTGTGGAAGGCTACCCGAAACGTTTGACCCAAGTTAAACAATTTAAAGGCAATGTTACCAAATACTAATTGAGTGTATGTAAACTTCTGACCCACTGGGAATGTGATGAAATAAATATAAGCTGAAATAAATCACTCTCTAAAATTATTCTGACATTTCACATTCTTAAAATAAAGTGGTGATTCTAACTGACCTAAGACAGTGAATTTTTACTAGGATTAAATGTCAGGAATTGTGAAAAACTGAGTTTAAATGTATTTGGCTAAGGTATATGTAAACTTCAGACTTCAACTGTATGTCCTCTATATACCCTCTACATATCCTCTATATATTCTCTATATATCCTCTATATATTCTCTATATATCCTCTATATATACTCTATATCCTCTATATACCCTCTATATATTCCCTATATATCCTCTGTATATACTCTATATATATCCTCTATATATCCTCGATATGTACTCTATATAGCCTCTATATATCCTCTATATATTCTCTATATTTTCTCTATATATCCTCTATATATTTTCTATACATTCTCTATATATTCTCCATACACTGAGTATACAAAACATTAAGAACACCTGCTCATTCCATGACAGACTGACCAGGTGAAAGCTATGATCCCTCATTGAAGTCACTTGTTAAATCCACTTCAATCAGTGTAGTGGAAGTGGAGGTTAAAGAAGGATTTTTAAGCCTTGAGACAATTGAGAAATGTGTGCCATTCAGAGGGTCAATGGGCAAGACAAAATATTTAAGTGCCTTTGAACGGGGTATGGTAGTAGGTGCCAGGCGCACCGGTTTGAGTATGTCAAGAACTGCAACACTGCCGAGTTTTCACGCCTAGCAGTTTCCCGTGTGTATCAAGAATGGTCCACCACCCAAAGGACATCCAGCCAACTTGACACAACTGTGGGAAGCATTGGAGTCAACATCCCTGTGGAACGCTTTCGACACCTTGTAGAGTCCATGACCCGTCAAATTGAGGCTGTTCTGAGGGCAAAAGGTGGGGGGGGGGGTTGCAACTCAAGATTAGGAAGGTGTTCTTAATGTTTTGTACAGTCAGTGTATTTTCTCAATATTTCTCAATATATTAAGTACAGTCTGGTACCCTCATACAGTATAATCACATTACCTCGAGCTACAATAAATCTGCCTTAGTAGAAACTCACTGAGCCTTCCTGACTCTTAACTCTTAAATGGAGGAAATAGAGAGCGAATTAATGCAACTCAGATTTCCCTCCTCATAGCATTTCCCTCCCACATTACAGAAACACTCCAGAGATGTATTAACACGCTTTTAAACTAGAGAGCAGCAGATACTGTTTCTCAGATATGCTAGCTTGGTTCTCCAGCAACGAAGATACAGAGAGATTAATAGACTCTGTCATAGAGTCCTAAAAGATCCAGAGAGTCATCTCCGTAGAAGAGTCTGTAGCCAGTGCATTGAGCTGCTCTATTGGCTGGTGCCAGCACCAACATTTCATACACCATATGTGTCTGTGTGGGATCTGATCCCACTACCACTATAAATGTGTCCTATCTATCTCTCTCCAACTCTCTTTCAAGCCTGTCTATCCCAGTAAATAAATAGGAAAGGAGGGAAGGAGAATAGGAGTAGCCTGGTCCCAGTTATGTCTGTGTTATCACGACAAGGAGTGGCATGATGGCACAAACAGACTGGTAACCAGGCTAGAGTGGGAGTCCCTACCCAGGCATTGAGCCTCTATGCCGCTCCACAGTCCTGACAGCATGCACTCCCTCACAGTGGATCCCACCAGGATGTATCCAGGGTTGCAGCTGAAGATGGCAAAGCCTCCAAAGGTAGTCTGAGTTCCAATCTTTCTCCCATTTGGAGGAGTGGGCAGCTCTCCACAGGAAATGACTGCAATAAGAAAGAGACAGACAGGGGAGACCAGAGAGAGAGAGAGAGAGAGAGAGAGAGAGGAGAGAGAGAGAGAGAGAGAGACGGGGAGAGAGACGGGGGAGAGCAGAGAGAGAGCGAGAGACAGACAGACAGACAGACGGGGGAGAGGAGAGAGAGAGAGAGACAGACGGAGAGAGAAGAGAGAGACAGACGGAGGAGAGCAGAGAGAAAGAGACAGACGGGGAGCAGAGAGAGACAGAGGTGGAAGCCCAGAGAGAAAGAGAGAGAGAGCCAGGGGAGAAGGCAAGAGAGAGTAGACAGACGGGGGATAGCAGAGAGAAGAGACAGACGGGTGGAGAGCATAAGAGAGAGACAGAAGCGGGGGAGAGAGCAGAGAATAGACGAGGGGGGAGAGCAGAGAGAGAGAGACAGACGGGGGGAGACAGAGAGAGTGAACAGACGGGGGAGAGCAGTAGAGAGAGGAGATAGCCGGGGGAGATCAGAGAGAGAGAGAGAGAGATGAGAGATAGATCCACATGGTAGGAACAGAGAGAGAGAGAGACATGCAGGGGAGAACGAGAGAGAAAAAGAGACAGACATGGAGAAAAGAGAGAGAGATATAGACCGACAGGGTAGAGAGAGAGAGAGAGAGAGACGGGGGAAGTGGAGAGAGACTACAGGGTAGAACAGAAATAAGAGAGAGAGAGAAAGAGAGGGCTGGGGGTGAGAGCAGAGATTAGGAGAGAGAGAGAGAGACAGATGGGGGAGAGCAGAGAGAGAGAGAGACACAGTGGAGAGCAGAGAGAGAGAGATACAGTGGAGAGCAGAGAGAGAGAGACAGACGGGGGAGAGCAGAGAGAGAGAGACAGACGGGGTGAGCAGAGGAGAGAGAAAGACGGGGAGATCAGAGAGAGAGAGACATACGGGGAAAACAGAGAGAGAGACAGACGGGGGAAGCTAGAGAGAGAGACAGACGGGGGATAGCAGAGAGAGAGAGACAGACGGGGGAGAGCAGAGAGAGCGAGACAGACGGGGGAGAGCAGAGAAGCGTAGACAGACATGGGATGCAGAGAGAGATTGAGGCAGACGGGGGCGAGCAAGAGATATGAGAGATCGATAGAGAGAGATACACAGGGGAGAACAGAGAGAGAGACAGGCAGGGGAGAACAGAGAGAGAAAAAGAGACAGACAGGGGAGAAAAGAGAGCGAGAGAGACAGACAGGGGAGAACAGAGAGAGAGAGAGAGAGAGATGGGAGAAAGTGGAGAGAGACAGACAGGGGAGAACAGAGAGAGAGAGAGAGAGAGAGAGAGAGAGAGAGAGAGAGGGGCGGGGGGTAGATCAGAGAGAGAGAGAGACAGATGTGTAGAGCAGCGAAGAGAGATAGACACAGTGAGAGCAGAGAGAGATATACGACGGGGAGAGCAGAGAGATAGAGACAGAACGGGGACTATCAGAGAGAGAGAGTACAGCGGTGAGCAGCAGCGAGAGCGAGACAGACGTGGGGGAGCAGAAGTAACGAGACAGACAGGGGAGAGCAGAGAGAGAGAGGCAGACGGGGGAGAGCAGAGAGATAGAGAGAGCGAGAGAGAGAGATACACAGGGGAGAACAGAGATAGAACAAGCAGGGAGAACAGAGATAGAAAAGAGACGACAGGGGAGAAATAAGAGAGCGAGAGAAGAACCGAAACAGGGTGAACAGAGATAGAGAGAGAGAAGATGGGAGAAAGTGGAGAGAGACATACAGGGGAGAACCTCTCTCCTCTCTCTCTCTCTCCTCCTCTCTCTCTCTCGTCTCCTCGCTCTCTCTCTCTCTCTCTCTCTCTTTTCTTTTTCTCTCCTCTCTCTCTCTCTCCCTCTTTTTTTCTCCTCTCTCTCTCTCTCCCACAGTGGAAGAGTCAGATAGAGATAGACAGACGGGGGAGTCAGAGAGAGAGAGACATACGTGTGAGAGCAGAGAGAGACAGACGGGGTAGAGCAGATATAGAGAGACAGACTGGGTATAGCAGAGAGATCGATACAGCGGGGATAGCAGAGAGAGAGAGAGAGAGATACACAGGGATAACAGAGAGCGACAGTCAGGGAGAACATAGGAAAAAATAGACAGACAGGGGATAAAAGGAGAGAGAGACATACGGGGAGAACAGAGAAGAGGACATAATTGGTGATATCATAGAGAGAGATACAGATGGGGGAAGTGGATAGAGACAGAACTGGGAGAACATAGAGAGAGAGACATTCATTGGATAACAGAGAGAGAAAAGAGACAGACAGGGGGAACAGAGGAGAGAGATACATACAGTTGAGAACATAGATAGATATGATAGAGATAGAGAAGAGAGAGAGAGAGAGAGAGAGAGAGAGAGAGAAGACTCTCTCTCTCTAGTCTCTTCCGGTTCTCTCGCCTCTCTCTCTCTCCCTCTTTTTTTCTCTTCCTCCTTCTCTCCTCCCCGCCCCTTTTCTCTTCCTCAGAGAGAGAGACAGATGGGTGGAGAGCAGAGAGAGGAGACAGATGGGGTGAGAGCAGAAGAGACAGACGGGGAGAAGCAGAGAGAGACAGACGGGGAGAGCCGATGCGAGACCGACGGGGAGAGCAGAGAGAGAGAGACAGGACGGGGGAGAAGCAGGAGAGAGAGAGAGAGAGAGATACACGGGGAAAATAGAGAGAGAGACATGCAGGGGGAACAGAGAGAGAAAAGAGACAGACATGGAGAAAGAGAGAGGATACAGACAGTGGAGAACACATATAGAAGATAGAGAGATATAGAGAGAGGAGAGAGAGAGAGATGAGAGAGAGAGAGATAGAGAGAGAGGAGATAGAGAGATATAGAGAGAGATAGAGAGAGAGAGATAGAGAGAAGACGGGTAAAGTGGGAGAGAAACACGCCAGGGGAGAACAGAGGAGAGAGACATGCAGGGGAGAACAGCGAGAGAAAAGAGAACAGACAGTGGAGAACATAGAGAGAGATAGACAGCCAGAGGGGAGAATCAGAGAGAGTGAGAGAGAGAAGGAGATACAGACAGGGAAGAGCAGAGAGAGAACAGACGGGGGGGAGAGCATAGAGAGATACGACGGGGGAGAGCAGAGAGAGACAGATGGGGGGAGAGCAGAGAGAGAGAGACGACGGGGAGAGCCACAGAGAGCGTGGACAGACGGGGGAGAGCAATAGAGAGAGATAGACTGGGCGAGCAATAGAGAGAGAGAGAGAGAGAGAGAGAGAGAAGATAACACAGGGGAGAACAGAGGAGAGAGAGAGACATGGCAGGGGAGAAACGAGAGAGAAAAGAGACAGACAAGGGAGTAAAGGATAGAGAGAGAGACAAGACAGAATGGTAGAACAGAGAGAGAGAGCGCGAGAAACGGTGGAAGTGGAGAGAGCAGACAGGGAGAACAGACAGAGAGCGAGAGAGAGAAAGAGAGGCGGGGAGAGCAGAGAGAAGAGAGAGACAGATTGGGGGATAGCAGAGAGAGAGAGAGAACACAGTGGAGAAGCAAAGAGAGAGATACAGTGGGAGAGCAGAGAGAGAGAGATAGACGTGGGAGAAGCAAGAGGAGAGAGCACGCGGGTGGGAGAGCAAGGAGGAGAGAGAACAGACGGTTGGAGAGCAGAGAGAGAGAGACAGATGGGGGAAAGCAGAGAGAGGAGAGAGATACACAGTGGAGAACAGAGAGGAGACATGCATGGTAGAACAAGAGAGAAAAAGAGACAGACAAGGGATAAAAGAGAGAGAGAGCCAGACAAAGGAAGGTGAGAACAAGAGAGATAGGAGAGAGAGCGAGAGAGAGAGAGGAGCTCTCTCTCCCTCTCTCTATCTCTCTCTCTCTCTCTCTCTCTCTCTCCTCTCTTTCTCCGGGGGAACGTTGACGCTCTACCAGCATGTGTCTTAACAGAAGATAGAGCGCCAAGGCAGGGTAGAAACAAAGCGAGAAAAAGAGACAAGACACGGCAGCTAGGGGAGACATAGAGAGAGAGAGACAATCTACCAGGGGCGAACAGAGAGAGATGAGCGAGAGAGAGAAGAGCGCGTATAGAGAGAGTAAGAGTCTCTCTCTCTCTCTCTCTCTCTCTCTCTCTCTCTCTGCTCGCTCTCTCCTTTTTCCCTTTCTTCTCTCCTCCCTCCCCTTCCCTTCTTTGCCCCCCTCCCTCTCTCTCGCTCTCTCCTCTCTCTCTCTCTCCGTCTTTTTCGCTCTCTCTCTCTTCTCGCCCCTCTTTTTTTTCTCTCCGCTCGCCTCTCTCTTCCCCCAAGTGGAGATCATGAGAAGATACATTGGAGAGCAGAGAGAGAGAGTACATGACGGGGGAGAGCAGATAGAGAGGAACAGACAGGGGTGAGCAAGAGAGATGAGAGAAACAGAAAAATACTGGGATAGCAAAGAGAAGAGACAGAACTACGGGGGAAAGCAGATAGATGGAAAGAGACAATGGGGAGAAGGCAGAGAGCGAGATACAGATGGGGGAGAGCACAGAGGAGAGAGAGAGAGAGAGAGAGAGAGAGAGAGATAGAGAGAGAGAGTAGAACGTTGGAGGCCCTTTGCCTCTCCGCCGCCCTGGCCCCCGCCCGCGCTCGCTCGATCGCGCGCCTCTCGCGCTGCGGGGGCGATCGCGCTCTCGGCTCTCCCGCTGGGGGTCCTCGCCCAGCTCGCTCGCGCTCCCCCCAGTTGGGAAGAGTCAAGAGCGCGATACAGTGGATAGCCGCACAGAGAGAGACCCCGCCGTTGGGAGCGCCAAGACTCTCGCCCCTCCAGGGGTTCGCCCACACCAGCCGGAACAGCTTATCGCCCTCACGTCTTATCTCTCCTCCTTACTAGCTCCTGCTCTCACAGACGGGGTACCAGCAGAGAGAAGAAGACAGATGGGGGAGAGCAGAGAGAGAGAGACAGATGGGGGAGAGCAGAGAGAGAGAGAGAGAGAGAGAGAGAGAGAGATACACAGGGGAGAACAGAGAGAGAGAGTTAGACAGGGGAGCGCAGAGAGAGAGAGAGAAAGACAGGGGAGGACATTACTGAATGGCTCAATATTTATTCAATACTCTCACCCCCCCCACACACACCCTATTTAAAGGCAAAAATATCTGAATCTATTCAAGGCTGTCCTACAATAGTTCCCATGACAACATAGAAAGATCTATACAACAAAGACTTCATCAAGACTGGAGCAGTTCTAAAACGTCACCACCCACTTCTGCATCGAGGTCGTTCGTTCCGCCAGCTCCACGCCCCATTGGCCATGCACTGGATGTGAGCGGGGCCGACCCGGTAGTAACCCGGGTTACAGCTGAAGATGATCTTGGTTCTGAACTCATAACTGGAACCGTTGATGATCGTCCACTTCCCGTGGTCCAGAGAGAAGGAGCCCAGACTGGGGCACACCACCACTGTGAGACCACAAACACAAGAAGAAACCAACATATTAAAGCTACAGTCTGGGATTGGAAAAAACAAGAAATGGCAGCTCCACCACTTATTTTGGTGTATAGCTGAGGGATGGGGCTAGGGAAATGTAACCCTTCATATACCACCACTGTGGGACTACAAACACAAGAATAGTAAACCCATGGTCCATGGTGTCACGCGACGTGTATGCGGTCAGCGAAGTCAAACGCAGGACACAGAGCGGCTGGCAACGTACTTTTACTGAACACAGTAAATAACGTACAAAAACAACAAACCTCCAAACAGGGAGGAAAACACAATACCCGTACACAAAGCAACTGCCGGAATGACAAAGAACAATCACACACAATAACCAATGAGAGACAGGGAGTAGAAAACCTTAGAAAGCCTTAGAAAACCGATCTACAATGACCAAGATCGTAGTGTTCCCCTGGGAGGGGGGAAGGTCCATGACAAAATCCACCGATAGGTGAGACCACGGCCGTTGTGGAACGGGTAGGGGTTGTAACTTCCCTCTGGGCAGGTGTCTAGGCGCCTTACACTGGGCGCACACCGAGCAGGAGGAAACGTAATCCCTCACGTCCCTAGCTAAAGTGGGCCACCAGTACATCCCACTAAGGCAGTGCACTGTCCAACCAATACCAGGATGACCAGAGGAGGGTGACGTGTGAGCCCAATATATCAGTCGATCACGAACCTCGAGCAGGACGTACTTCCGTCCCTCTGGACACTGTGGGGGAGTAGGGTCGGCACGTAACGCCTGCTCGATGTCCGCATCGACCTCCCACACCACCGGTGCCACCAGACACGACTCCGGAAGTATGGGAGTGGGCTCAATGGACCTCTCCTCTGTGTCATATCGTTGGGACAGGGCGTCTGCCTTAGCGTTCTGTGACCCTGGTATATAAGTGAGCTTAAATACAAATCGGGTAAGAAACATGGCCCACCTAGCCTGGCGAGGGTTCAGTCTCCTCGCTGCCAGGATGTACTCCAGGTTACGATGGTCAGTCAGAATGAGAAAAGGGTGTTTAGCCCCCTCAAGCCAATGCCTCCACACCTTCAGGGCTTGAACCACCGCTAGCAGCTCCCTGTCCCCCCACGTCATAATTTCTCTCCGCCGGACTGAGCTTCTTAGAATAGAAAGCGCAGGGCGGAGTTTTGGTGGCGTGCCTGAGCGCTGAGACAGTATAGCACTGATCCCCGCCTTGGACTCATCCACCTCAACTTGGAACGCCAAAGAGGGATCCGGATGTGCCAGCACCGGAGCCGAGGTGAACAGGTCCTTCAGACGTCTAAACGCCCTGTCTCCCTCAGCCGACCACTGCAGACGCACCGGGCCCCCCTTTAGCAGGGAGGTGATGGGAGCTGCTACCTGTCCAAAGCCCCAGATAAACCTCCGGTAGTAATTGGCAAAACCCAAAAACCGCTGCACCTCCTTCACCGTGATGGGAGTCTGCCAATTACGCACGGCTGAAACGCGGTCAATCTCCATCTCCACCCCTGACGCGGACAACCGATGTCCCAGGAAGGAGATGGACTCCTGGAAGAACAGGCATTTCTCCGCCTTCGCATACAGGTCATGCTCCAACAGTCTACCAAGCACCCGACGCACCAGGGACACATGCTCGGCTTGTGTAGCGGAGTATATTAGAATGTCATCAATATACACCACTACACCCTGTCCATGCAAATCCCGGAAAATCTCGTCCACAAACGATTGGAAGACTGAAGGAGCATTCATTAAACCGTATGGCATGACGAGGTACTCATAGTGACCCGAGGTGGTACTGAATGCTGTCTTCCACTCATCTCCCTCCCTAATGCGCACCAGGTTGTACGCGCCCCTGAGATCCAATTTTGTGAAGAATCGCGCCCCGTGTAATGACTCCGTCATACTAGCAATCAGAGGGAGAGGATAGCTGTATTTGATTGTAATCTGATTGAGACCATGTTAATCAATACACGGGCGTAAACCCCCATCCTTCTTCTTCACAAAAAAGAAACTCGAGGACGCAGGGGAAGTGGACGATCGTATGTATCCCTGTCTCAGAGATTCGGCGACGTATGTCTCCATAGCCGCCGTCTCCTCCTGAGACAGAGGATACACATGACTACGAGGAAGCGCAGCGCCTACCTGGAGGTCTATCGCACAATCCCCCTGTCGATGAGGTGGTAATTGAATCGCCCTCTTTTTACAGATCGGCATACTAAGGAGGAATGTGCATGGTGGGAACTTGGTTCGGGCTTTCCACCGTCATTGCCCCTACAGAAACACCTACACACCGCCCGACACACTGATCAGACCATCCCTTGAGAGCCCTCTGTTGCCATGAAATGTTGGGGTCATGAGATGTTAACCAGGGAAGCCCCAACACCACGGGAAACGCAGGAGAGTCAATAAAATATAACCGTATAATCTCCTCATGGCCCTCCTGCATCTTCATCTTAAGTGGCGCTGTGACCTCCCTAAACAATCCCGACCCCAAAGGGCGGCTATCTAGGGCATGGATGGGGAACGGCACATCAACTGGTACAATAGGAATCCCTAACTTATACGTGAACCGGCGATCGATAAAATTCCCAGCTGCGCCTGAATCTACTAGCGCCTTATGCTGGGAGTGAGGAGAAACCTCGGGAAACACAACTTTAATACACATATGTGCAACAGAGTGCTCTGGGTGAGTTGGGTGCTTACTCACCTGGAATGACTCATCAGTGCGCTGCCTACTGCCTCGATTCCTAGGAGACCCTCCCTAGCACCGACCCACAGTGTGTCCTCTGCGGCCACAGTTGGTGCAGGGGACGGCCTCTCTCCTGGTCTCTCTCCTGGGATCCCTAGCACCAGCACCCCCGAGCTCCATAGGGCTCGGCTTGGAAGTGCTGGGGGATGGAATGGACGGCCCGACTCCGGACGTCCTGCGGGTAGCCAACAGGGTATCTAGGCAAATCGACATGTCCACCAGCTGATCGAAGCTTAGGTTGGTGTCCCTGCAGGCCAATTCCCGACGCACGTCCTCCCTCAGGCTGCACCTGTAGTGGTCGATGAGGGCCCTCTCATTCCATCCCGCAGTCCGGAAGTCCAGTGTGAACTCCTGCGCGCTCCTCTTCCCCTGTCTGAGGTGGAACAGACGCTCACCCGCCGCCTTCCCCTCTGGGGGATGATCGAACACCGCCCTGAAGTGGCGTAGGAACTCCGCATAGTTGACTGTAGCGGTGTCTATTCCCCCCCACTCGGCGTTGGCCCACTCCAGCGCCTTGCCGGACAGACAGGAGATGAGGGCGGACACGCTCTCGTATCCCAAGGGCACCGGGTGGATGGTTGCCAGGTAGAGTTCCACTTGGAGCAGGAAACCCTGACACACGGCCGCTGTGCCATCATAAGCCCTCGGGAGTGAGAGCCGAATCCCACTGGACCCCGGAGGTGAAGCGATGGGTATAGCTGATGGTGGTGGTATCGTCGGAGGAGGTGTGGGCAAACCTCCTCTTTCCCATCGCTCCATGGTGTTCACCACCCGTTCCATGGCGGTGCCGAGAGCCTGGATCATGGCCGCTTGTTGTGCTACGCGCTCCTCCATTGATCCAGCTGGCACCGCCGCTCCTGCTGACTCCATGTCTTGGTGTGTGATTCTGTCACGCGACGTGTATGCGGTCAGCGAACAGAGCGGCTGGCAACGTAATTTTACTGAACACAGTAAATAACGTACAAAAACAACAAACCTCCAAACAGGGAGGAAAACACAATACCCGTACACAAAGCAACTGCCGGAATGACAAAGAACAATCGCACACACAGGGGGTAATATAGGGAATACAATTCAACATAATGGGAAACAGGTGTAAACAATAAAGACAAAACAAGACAAACACCGAAACATCGATCGGCAGTAGCTAGTACTCCGGGGACGACGGACACCGAAGCCTGCCCGAGCAAGGAGGAGGAGCAGCCTCGGCTGAATCCGTGACACATGGAGAAAGATCCCAGACTGGGGCACACCACCTCTGTGGGACACGATAAATATTCATTCAATCACATCAATTAATCATATTTCCTTAGAATGTCCTTTTTACAACAGCAGTTGTCACAAAGTGCTTTAACAGTAACCCAGACAAGACCCAAAAATGTATATACAAAGAATACAGCAAAGAAACAAGAACACACATGATCGTGTAAATATATGGACCCAATTCTATTGTTTCATCATTTCACATTAGAGCAATGTGGGACCACACACACAACAATAGAACAGGAGTTTTGGTCAAATACTACGGAAACTAGGAGAGACGCCAGTTTAGTCTATCTTCCATTAGTCAGCACTTCGCCAAAAGGGATACAGTTTAATGTATCTTCCATTAGTCAGCACCTCGCCAAAAGGGATACAGTTTAATGTATATTCCATTTAGTCAGCACCTCGGCCCCAAACGGGATACAGTTTGAATGTATTCTTCCATTAGTCAGCACCTCGCCCAAAAGGGATCCAGTTTCATTTATCCTCCAATTAGTTCCGCACCTCGCCAAAAGGGATACAGTTTAATTTATCTTCCATTAGTCAGCACCTCGCCAAAAGGGATACAGTTTAATTTATCTTCCATTAGTCAGCACCTCGCCAAAAGGAGTACAGTTTAGTCTATCTTCCATTAGTCAGCACTTCACCAAAAGGGCTACACGTTTAATTTATCTTCCATTAGTCAAGCAACCTCAGCCAAAAAGGAAACAGTTTTTTAATTTATCTTCCATTAGTCAGCCTCACCAAAAGGGATTACCAGTTTAAGTTATCTTCCATTTAGTCAGCACCTCGCCAAAAAGGAATACAGTTTAATTTATCTTCCATTAGTCAGCACCTCGCCAAAAAGGAATACAGTTTAATTTATCTTCCATTAGTCAGCACTTCACCAAAAGGGATACAGTTTAATTTATCTTCCATTAGTCAGCACCTCGCCAAAAAGGAATACAGGTTTAATGTATCTTCCATTAGTCAGCACCTCGCCAAAAGGGGTACAGTTTAGTCTATCTTCCATTAGTCAGCACCTCGCCAAAAAGGAATAGAGTTTAATTTATCTTCCATTAGTCAGCACTTCACCAAAAAGGAATACAGTTTAATTTATCTTCCATTAGTCAGCACCTCTGTGCTCTTTATTTCTTTACTTGACAAAACAAGAATGAACCCGACATGACATCGCCGACATGACATCCCTGACATGACATCCCCGACATGACATCCCCGACATGACATCCCCGACATGACATCCCCGACATGCCATCCCCGACATGACATCCCTGAAATGATATCCCCGACATGACATCCCCGACATGACATCCCTGACATGACATCCCTGACATCCCTGACATGACATCCCTGACATACAGACCCAGTTCTATTGTTTGATGCTTTAAAGTGGCATGCATTCATCTACTTTCACACATCTGTGGAGTACTCCAAGTTCCTTACTGTTGCCACCTTGACTCATTTATTTTATCTGTGTTCACAAGGAAGCTGGTACTGTAGTGTACTGTGTAGAGAGAAGGAAGCAGACAGACAGGCTGGTACTGTAGTGTACTGTGTAGAGAGAAGGAAGCAGACAGACAGGCTGGTACTGTACCAGCAGCAGGACATCTCCTCTCCCCTCCTACCTGTGCAGCGGGGTATTTTGTTGTGGTTGCTCCATGTGCCATCGGACTGGCAGACGGTGGTGGTGAGATCCTTGGAGGACAGCCTGAAGCCATTGTTGCAGAAGTAGGTTAAACGTGTGCCAACGGAGTAATCAACCGCCTGCACACCTCCATTCAGCGGCGCAGTGGGCACGCCACACGACACAGCTGGAGGCAGGGGGGAGATACACAGGCACACAGGCGCATACACAGGCACAGGAAGACACACACACACACAGACACACACACACACAGGCACACACACAGAGTGAGGGTGCGTCAAGGCTCCTTACAGGCACTGAGCAGCCGTGAGGAGACGGAATAGCAAAGTGATTAGATACGCTGGGGAGAAACATTTATCATCACAGACAAGATGGAGAAACATCAACTTCTGCATCCTCTCTGTGAACGACTGGGACACACACACACACACACACACACACACAAACACATAAAGACACACACACACACAAAGACACACACAGACATATATACACACACACACAAACACACACATGTACACACACACACACAAACACATATATATATACATACACACACACACACACACACACACAAACACATATAGACTCACACACAAAAACATCACAGAGAAATATGGAAAATATTACCATGAACTGACTGGTAGAGTAAATCAGATTACTGTCATAAACACATCACAGAGAAATAGAGCTATGAGCAGTAAACTGTAGCCATTACATTGAGACAAATGTCCTGTCATATCAGACAGCCAGTATTGATGCCTATTTGTCTAATTAAATCAAACCAAACTTCACTCAAAACAGCGAGTAGCAGCAGTGGGGGGGAGGGGGTCAATGTAAATAGTCCAGGTGGCCATTTGATTAATTGTTCATCAGTCTTATGGCTTGGGGGTAGAAGCTGTTCAGGAGCCTTTTGGACCTAGACTTGGTGCTCCGGTACCGCTTGCCGTGCGGTAGCAGAGAGAACAGTCTATGACTTGGGTGGCTGGAGTCTTTTGACAATTCTTTGGGCCTTCCTCTGACACCGCCTAGGATAGAGGTCCTGGATGGCAGGAAGCTTGGCCCCAGTGATGTACTGGGCAGTACGCACTACCCTCTGTAGCGCCTTACGGTCGGATGCCGAGCAGTTGCCATACCAGACGGTGATGCAACCGTTCAGGATGCTCTCAATGGTGCAGCTGTATAACTTTTTGAGGATCTGGGGACCCATGCCAAATCTTTTCAGTCTCCTGAGGGGAAAAGGCGTTGTTGTGACCTCTTCACAACTTTCTTGGTGTGTTTGGACCATGATAGTTTGTTGGTGATGTGGACACCAAGGAACTTGAAACTCTCGACATGATTCCATATGTGTTATTTCATAGTTTTGATGTCTTCACTATTATTCTACAATGTAAAAATAGTAAAAATAAAGAAAAACCCTTGAATGAGTAGGTGTGTCCAAACTTTGACTGGTAGTGTATAGATATACAGTTGAAGTCGGAAGTTTACATACACTTAGGTTGGAGTCATTAAAACTCGTTTTTCAACCACTCCACAAATGTCTTGTTAACAAACTATAGTTTTGGCAAGTCGGTTAGGACATCTACTTTGTGCATGACACAAGTCATTTTTCCAACAATTGTTTACAGACAGATTATTTCACATATAATTCACTGTATCACAATTCCAGTGGGTCAGAAGTTTACATACACTAAGTTGACTGTGCCGTTAAACAGCTTGGAAAATTCCAGAAAATGATGTCATGGCTTTAGAAGCTTCTGATAGGCTAATTTACATAATTTGAGTCAATTGGAGGTGTACCTGTGGATGTATTTCAAGGCCTACCTTCAAACTCAGTGCCTCTTTGCTTGACATCCTGGGAAAATCAAAAGAAATCAGCCAAGACCTCAGAAAAACAATTGTAGATCTCCACAAGTCTGGTTCATCCTTGGGAGCAATTTCCAAACGCCTGAAGGTACCACGTTCATCTGTACAAACAATAGTACGCAAGTATAAACACCATGGGACCACGCAGCTGTCATACCGCTCATGAAGGAGACGCGTTCTGTCTCCTAGAGATGAACGTACTTTGGGCAAGTGTAATTCAATCCCAGAACAACAGCAAAGGACCTTGTGAAGATGCTGGAGGAAACAGGTACAAAAGTATCTAAATCCACAGTAAAATTAGTCCTATATCGACATAACCTGAAAAGCCGCTCAGCAAGGAAGAAGCCACTGCTCTAAAACCGCCATAAAAAAGACAGACTATGGTTTGTAACTGCATATGGGGACAAAGCTCGTACTTTTTGGAGAAATGTTTGGCCATAATGACCATCGTTATGTTTGGAGGAAAAAGATTGGGCTTGCAAGCCGAAAAACACCATCCCAAACGTGAAGCACAGGGGTGGCAGCATCATGCTGTGGCGGTGCTTTACTGCAGGAGGGACTGGTGCATTTCACAAAATAGATGGCATCATGAGGAAGAAAAATTATGTGGATATATTGAAGCAACATCTCAAGACGTCAGTCAGGAAGTTAAAGCTTGGTCGCAAATGGGTCTTCCAAATGGACAATGACCCCAAGCATACTTCCAAAGTTGTGGCAAAATGGCTTAAGGACAACAAAGTCAAGGTATTGGAGTGGCCATCACAAAGCCCTGACCTCAATCCTATAGAAAATGTGTGGGCAGAACTGAAAAAGCGTGTGCGAGCAAGGAGGCCTACAAACCTGACTCAGTTACACCACTCTGTCAGGAGGAATGGGCCAAAATTCACCCAACTAATTGTGGGAAGCTTGTGGAAGGCTACCTGAAACGTTTGATCCAAGTTAAACAATTTAAAGGCAATGCTACCAAATACTAATTGAGTGTATGTAAACTTCTGACCCACTGGGAATGTGATGAAAGAAATAAAAAGCTGAAATAAATCATTCTCCCTACTGTTATTCTGACATTTCACATTCTTAAAATAAAGTGGTGATCCTAACTGACCTAAGACAGGGAATTTTGACTTGGATTAAATGTCAGGAATTGTGAAAAACTGAGTGTAAATGTATTTGGCTAAGGTGTATGTAAACTTCCGACTTCAACTGTATATATGTAGATATTGAGATCTGGCCACAGACCCCTGCAGTACCTCCGTGAATCCCACTCTGAGAACCCCTGAATCAGAGGGACACAATGAGAAAGTGAAAGTACAAAGAAAGTAAATCAATTCCATTTCTAAAATATGAATACATCTAAATGGTCTAATTAGCAGCCACAGGCCACGCTAGAAAGATGCTCTTACTAATCAGGGACTTAAAAACAGCAATTATGTCTAATTCCCTGACAGCTACAGACAGATTGTTACACAGACTGGATGCTGTAGAAGAGGAGAGGAGAGGAGAGGAGAGAAGAGAAAGGAAGAGATAGCAGAGAAAGGAAGAGATAGGACAGGAACGAAGAGAGAGCAGAGAAAGGAAGAGAAGAGCAGAGAAGAAGAGACAGGAAGAAAGAGCAGAGAAAGGAAGAGAAGAGAAGAGAAAGGAAGAGATGAGAAGAGAAAGGAAAGAAGAGAAGGGAAGAGATCGCAGAGAAAGGAAGAGTAAGGAAGAGATCAGAGAAGACATCACACCCTTCTCTTCCTTCTGCTGTTTTCTCTGACACACTGAGGCCAGCAGAGCAACAGAGCCATATCTGAGCTGGGGAGATTATCAGGACCAATTAGACCGGTAAAATAAGTAGGAGCCAGAGTCTGGGAGCCAGGCCATGATGCAAGGCTTTAGACGGTAATAAAAGTACCTTAATCACCCTGATTTTCAACTGGGAGCCAATGAAGAGAAACTAAAACAACTCATGAAGACAAGTTCAAAGAAGTGCCTTATAATCAGCAGTCTAACAAGGAGGTCTCTAATGGTGAGACACTAAAAGGGATTGATGTGCCACATATTTATTCAATAAAGACTGTGGAGAGACTAACAATGGGATTGATAACCTCATGTCTTGATTTGGTCAGGATCCAATGCAGCTGCATTCTGCACAAACTGAAGGTTGTGAAGAGAGGGTTTGGAGATTGAATTATAGTTCTGTGGTTGGACCAAATAGATTCTACATCTATTTCTACTGCAACAAAAGTTCTGCAGCAGTCTAAAAGCAGAAGGTTTCAAAGATATTTTAGAAATGAAAGAATGCTGTTCAGGAGATATAGTATCATTTATTAGTTCCTAGTGTCAGATCTGAGTCACCGCATTAAACACAGAGGGGTTTAAACAACCCAGTTTGTACCATACTTAGGTCCCATTCTATTTCTGAACATTTAGGGGTAAAAAAATAATAACCAGCAGCCAGGTATGAATGTGAGTGTCCCCTAGGGCCAGTTTCCCAGACACAGATTTAGCCTACACCTGAACTACAGAGCGCTTTCATGGAAAACTATCTAAATTTTCAAAGCTTTATCTAAATGTGGCTTTGTACAGTGCCTTGCAAAAGTATTCATCCCTCTTGGCGTTTTTCCTATTTTTTTGCATTACAACCTGTAATTTAAATGGATATATATATATATATATACCTGTTCTGAAAGGCCCCTGAGTCTGCAACACCACTAAGCAAGGGGCACCATGAAGACCAAGGAGCTCTATAAACAGGTCAGGGGACAATGTTGTGGAGAAGTACAGATCAGGGTTGGGTTATAAAATAATATACGAAAACTTTGGAACATCCCACGGAGCACCATTAAATCCATTATTAAAAAATGGAAAGAATATGGCACCACAACAAACCTGCCAAGAGAGGGCCGCCCACCAAAACTCACGGACCAGGCAAAGAGGGCTTTAATCAGAGAGCCAACAAAGAGACCAAAGATAACCCTGAAGGAGCTGCCAAAGCTCCACAGCGGAGATTGGAGTATCCATCCATAGGACCACTTCAAGCCGTACACTCCACAGAGCTGGGCTTTACGGAAGAGTGGCTTGAAAAAAGCCATTGCTTAAAGAAAAGAATAAGCAAACACATTTTGGTGTTCGCCAAAAGCCATGTGGGAGACTCCCCAAACATATGGAAGAAGGTACTCTGATCAGATGAGACTAAAATTGAGCTTTTTGGCCATCAAGGAAAACACTATGTCATCACCCGAGAACACCATCCCCACAGTGAAGCATGGTGGTGGCAGCATCATGCTGTGGGGATGTTTTTTCATCGGCAGGGACT